CGTGCTTGAGCTCATCGATATCGAGATGAAGCACAGGTCCACAGTCAACGGTGAGATCCTGCGTATCCAAAAAGACGTCCGCGCAAAGGTGGAGGACTTGGAAGACGTGACTGGAAACACGGACATCATCTTGAACGACTTCACCACATCGCGAAAGCTTCGCGACTCAGTCTCCACTGTGCTAACAGAGGGCTCCTTACCACAGTCAAGCCTTGACACACCAGGCACATCCCCCGCTTCGAGTGTCGTCATGAGCCGTAAGAGTAGTGGACAGCGGCCTTCCATCACTCCAGTAAGCAAGAAGCCTCGTCAGTCCAGTGTTGCGAGCTTGAAATCGTCGGCCCCTCCCAACCGGCGATACTCCAGCATACCACTGGGTGCTGAGAGTGTCGCTTCTCGCAAATCTACACTCGAGCGTTCCGCACGTTTGGACTTTACACCTTCCCGCGCCATGGCTGGCACCGCAGCTAGTCAAGCCCGCGCGAAGACGCCGACCGATAGGCCTGGGCCCAAGCCCCGGTGGAACTCGGACACGCACATGCGCGATACTGTCGTCGGACACAACTTTAAGCCCTTGACTCTGACTACGCCTTCGCCCTTCCGGAAAGACGAATCACCCGACGGATCGCGACTGGGCTCAGCAAGCCGTTCGTCGATACCCCTCAGAAGCCCACTGAGTCGCTCCTCAGCTCTTTCGCCGACTGCATCCAGCCGTTCTCCATCAACTACTCCAGGGCAGCAGCGCTCTGCTCGATTGATGCCAAGCCCAATGAACTCCTCTCCCGTTACTCCTGCCAAGGGCAAGCTGCCGATACGATCAACGCCCCTGTCTTCCTCAAGTACAAGTACGCCAGCGTCTAGCCGTCGTGTCTCAACAGTAGTAGAAAGCGGCAAGAGCCCTGCCAAAGAAGAAAGTCCGGCGGCCCGTCGCGCATCACGCCCTCCGAGTGCCGCAGCCAGTCGTCGCAGCAGTCTGTTACCTACACCTAGGCAGCGCACCTCATCCACTTCCGAGACCACCAAGTCAACCCCACCTGCTAAGTCGACCCCTCCCGGACGCTCCAGCAGCAGGCTCGACAGCCTGGCCGAAAGCCGTACTTCTAGCCGTGTTAGCGGTCGCCAGTCAAGCGTAGGAGATAGACCGGTTTGGAGATAGGCACTTGCAAATCGGACAATTCACCTCGACGGACCGGCGCAGACCTGAACAGCACCTCTTGTTTCCAAACGAACGACAGCAACATCACGCAATCAACGTTAGCGAAACCTACTTATTCACCCCCAACTTTCACTTCGCGTCTGGATCCTGGCTTGGTCCTAAACCCCGTTCCCTAATATCGACTTCTAGTACTAAGCATCTGCATTCTTTCGAAGAAGAATCTCTCTCTTTCCCCGCGATGTATCATCGAAATATCCATCTCACCTCTGGACCATTATATCCACATTTTTGATTTGTTGCTTTTTCCATCTGGCGTTTTAGCGGTTGGGAGAAAGTATCCTATACCCCGGAGTTTCACACGTGTTTTTGGCTTTCTTTGAAGAAGCATTTTCTGTTTCACACATGGCTGAGCGAGCGAGCGTATCTGGCGAATGGAGTGCGTGTGAGCGTTGGCATGTTTTTGTGCGTGCTAGGCGCTTGCAGCATTATGGAGAGAGGGATATTGGGAGCGTGCGCGGAAGTATGCTTTTGTAGATAGGAGCTAGATTGGTATTCATGGGTGGATCGGGAGCGGATGGTGGAGGTTGGGGGCAGCAGACTAATTCTATGTACGAGACAGTGTATGTTAGATAGTAGTTGAGCGAGATATAGAATGATACCATAGTAAACCGATCTGCCTCCATTGGCTGTACAGTCGATATGATTCACCTGGTTGAGGTTCAAGCCCGGCCATCAATGTCATTGTCTCCCCATATTCAAGACATGAACACGTGAGTGGATGGCATCAGTAGATATCGAGCCAAAGACTTCACACCTGACCCATGTCAAATACCTAGACAGCAGCTCTAGACTGTCTTATTGGTATCTTACTTGGAGACACAGGTGGTATTACAGACATTGTACTCACCCAGCCATATAAATTCCTACAAAGTACCGACTCTGTTCTTGCACAGCCATCCACACCGTTCCATACACAAAAGCCTAACACCTTCACACCTAACCACATCCATTTCGATGACGCCCACGCACGAAGAGAAGTTTTTACAACACAAGAACATGCAGGGTTGTTTAGCCGTAAACTGTCGGTTCTGCAAGTGGGAACGCGAACTCGATAGTATCCCAGTAGAAGAGGTAGCCCCGCCTTCGCCATCGACGCTTGAGAAGATACGTTCGGGCCAGAGGGTAAGGGCAGCCGCGAGGAAATCCAACGGGACAGAACGAGAGCGGGACAGTACTGCATCTACATCCTGGCCTCCGGACGATGCACGTTTCGAAATGAATCCACTGGCGTCACCATTGGTAAGCAGGAGTAGGAGGGATAGTATACATTCTTGCGAAGAAGATGGTATGGAGGATGGGGAGGGTGTGGAGGTGTGCTACACTGAGCAGTCTGTATCCTCACGCGATGGCAAAATCGACAAAAACACTCCCGAAGACATCGAGATCCCAGACAACGACACCAAACCACCAAGCCCCACTCCAAGCTCAGTCTATAGCACCGACAGTCCCCTCGCCCTCGTCCATAGCCCTCTCTACACACAAAGCGAAAGCGACATATCCGACCTACCAGGCGATAGCGCTTTCTCTAACTTTCTAGATGAAATCCTTTTTGATCTTGGCGCTTGGCTTGATGCTGGGGGTTTGGAGAAGGGCGGCCTGCACGATGATATGCCGGAGGAGGAGTTTGCAGAGTATAAGGAATGGTACAAGGCGATTGGAGGAGGAGTTGCGAGGGGTATGGTTGAGCGGGGAGTTATGGGGGTGGAGAGGAGGAGGAGGTGGAGTGTGTGATGGCGTTGGTGATGGCGTTGGTGATGGCGATGGTGATGGCGATGGGATGGTGGATGTGGAGGGGGAGAAGGATTATGGTGATGTAGAGTGGTATCATATGTTAGGTTTATCGCACGAATAGTTCTTTTGACTGATGGAAGTGAACATTTAATCTCCTACCATCAATTCTTCGACCACATAATGCTTCAAGACTTACATATTCTGCAAATGCCCGACCTTTTAGGTTACTGATCCTGCACAGCGGCCGTGGTGGCTGAGCTGAACCCGCTAGATACATGCAGGGGGTAGCCTTCAGAAAGCCTCCGACGGTACTAAGAGCTGCCGTTGCATATCCTCCGCAATAAAGTCCCTGCGTAAATCTAAATGAACTTGGCAGTATACGGAACGGAGTTGACGATACTGTCATCCGGATCGGATGTCAGTTTGGTTACCGACATCCGCCGGCGCCGCCCAATTGGAAAACGAGGATTGCAAAGCACCGAGTCTACGTACCTACTCATGCTGCTTTTGATATCTTTTGTGATCGTACGTGGCAGCTAGCCATGCAGTATCGTTGGTAAGCGACAGGGGTGGGTGGGGGAGGCGGAGGGGAGGCGGAGGGGTGGAGGTGGAAGTCTGTCCCGAAACCGTGGTAGGAGTCTGGGCACTGATTATTTTACTGCGTGCCCCTGCATGTAGTCATACACTTAACCGGGTTTGGCACATTGTATAGGTAAGATTGGAAGCGGTATAGAGCTGTACCATGCTTCAAGTTCCAACTTGACGGCCTTGTCTGCTTGTCGGTGAGATGGAATCGGCCCTCTAGTGATTGAATGCTTACGATCATGGCTTCATTGTATCCCGCGATGGAAGAATGAAGAGCATATATAAAGCACCGTACACCACCTCGAAGCTTCATCAACATCGGATCCTCATCAGTGTCTTGCAATTACAATACATCTTTACTTACACTCGACAAACACTTTCTCCCCAATCTTGAAATGGCACCCGAACAAGAGCCAAAAGGCTACCGATGGGACATCATCACAGCGGAAGAACTCAAATACGCTCCGCCGTACTTTCAAGACGTCCCAGAAACAACGACTGAAGTGGAGTGTAAGCTCAGCGGCACATGGCCCAAGTGGCTTCATGGCTCTTTCCTTCGGTACGTCACCCTCCACCCTTCACATCTCCCCTAAACCCCCAGCTAACATTAACTTCACCACAGGGTTGGCGTAGGCCGTTTCACAGTCCCCACCTCTGAAGACGACTCCACACCCCGAGTCATCATCCAGCACCTCTTCGACGGCCTGGCCCTCCTCCACAAATTCCGCATGACCGACGGTCGCGTGTATTACATGAGTCGCTACACTTCCAACGGAATAACGCGCGCCGCGCAGCGAGACGGCTACGTCAAGAACTCCTGGGTGGGACCGAATCCCAACACGCCTCTTTTCGAAGCCCAGGATCCGTGTTCGAAATTACTTGGAGCGCGTGTAAGTCTGATCATCTTCTCCTCCAGTCATGGCTATTCACAAGAAGCGATGGGAAGACTGACGGTTTTCGGATGGACGTAGCAAACCGTTTTCCTGCCTCATGATTCCATCGAACCAGATGCTCTTAATGTTCATGTTCAGCCGAGACGTGGTATGCATCTACCGGAGGATAAGAATCCGAATTCGAGGGGTGTCAAGGCGGAAGATCCGGCTACGCAGGAGGTAAGACAAGCCCCATCTGCACTTCATGCCAAAAGAACATGGCGAAGCTCACGCTGAGATATAGATCCTCGTTCACACGGACTGGAACTGCATGCAAATCTGCGATGCAAAGACGCTCGAGCCGAAGCGCTTACTCTCTCATGCGGTCATCGATCCCGAGCTCGCTGGAACAGGGTGCTGCGCTCATCCGGTTCATGATCGCAAGCGAGGAACGACGTACAACTACTTGATCGATGCAGCGGGTATTATGTATATCTTTGCGTTGGATGTGGTGGCGAATCCGGCGCGTCTGTTATGGAAGTCGGCGCTGCCGTGTAAGCCGTGCTACACGCATGCTCTTGCTATGACAGACAAGTATGTTGTGTTCGTCAGGAACGTAAGTAGTAGTTCCAACTGGATGGAGTGGCGGTATATGGATCGAAACTAACATCCCATCAGCCTGTTATATTGGATCTCAGTGATCCGAGCAAGACCCTCGTCGAGGCGATGGTATGCGAGCACGACTCCCCCGTGTACTTTTACGTCCTGGACAAAGCCGACGGCAAGGTGTAAGTCCTCTCTCTCCCTTCGTCTCTAAACACTCCTGAACTAACACTTCCTAGCATAGCATCCTACCAAGTCCCAAACTTCTACTTCTTCCACACAGCCAACGCCTACGACTACGTCGACCCCAAAACGGGGCACACGAACGTCCATGTCGACATTGCGAGCTACAAGGCAGAACACTACCCGTACCACGAATACGCCATCTCGAACGTCATCAACCCGCTCAAACCCTACCAGACGGGCCGCCTCGTCCGCTACGAACTCTCCGCCGTCAACACGCGCGATCCCGCCGTTGTCGCCCGCGGCACCGTCAAAGCCGCTATTCCAGATATGATGGCGGAACTACCTCGCATCTCCAAAGCCGCATCCATGGACCCAAACTACCGCTTCGTCTACGGCGTATCCGGGAACGGCATTTCCGCTCCAGGCACAGATGTTCCTATCGGGCGTCTCGGTAACGGCGTCGATATGCCACATGCGTCTTTCTATGGTCACCTCTTCAAGTCTGATTGGCGGACTGGCACGTTCAAAGCGTGGGTACCGCAGAATGGCGAGAGTTGTCCTACGGAGCCGATTTTCATCCAGAGGCCGGGTGCGACGGAGGAGGATGATGGGATTGTGATTACGATTACGATTAATAAGGAGGGGACGAATAGCATTCTTGTGGGGCTTGATGGGAGGACGTTTGAGGAGGTGGCGAGGGCGGATATGCCACAGGTTTATGCGCTCGGGCCGCATGGGTCGTTTGTTGAAGGGGATTTTGGGGTTGTGAGTACTATGGGTCGTTAGTCGGGTTGCGATGGGATACGTTGTTCCGAAGAGTCGAAGCTGTGCGGATGCTACGGGATTTCATCAAAGCTGTTCGTTGTCGAGTGGTTTGGTCTCGACGACACGTGACAAACACCTTCTCTGGAAATTTGGCGGTGATTCTAGATATCGGAGGTATTAGTCTGGTGGTGTTCCATACATGGAGCTCGGGTTGTAGGCCTCGATCGGTACCTGAATTAAAGCAACACTATCGCACATGCCACTGTTATCTCGACGTTTGCGAAGACTGCCGCCGTCATCGCATCTGAAAACGCCATGGTACTGCTGTGGGCTGCGCATGCAAACGCCTCCATTCCTTTGACGTCCATCTCCAAATGAAATTCCACTCCTCAGATTAAAGTAACACGATCAGAATCTTATCTGTCACTTAGCCTCGTGTTGTGCAAGGATTTCTTTGTTCTCGTATCCGCCAGGGACCAAGCGAGCATTCATATCCGGGTAATTCGACAGTGTCATATAAGTCGAAAGCGTGTTTCGCTACTTCTGAAAAGGTCAGGGAGACACACTGAACTTCTCCGACGACAAATCCTTCTCTTCTGGCAGCCATGTTGCTACGCGCGATCTTCAGCCTCGCCGTGTTCGGCACGTACGTAGTTGGGCTTCACACAGGCGACGTACTCCGGCGGCAAACAGACTGCGACGAGCTCGGAAACTATCCTCCGTACACCGGGCCATGTGAAGTCGAAAGTAAGTGCATATATGAGTCTCCGGCTTTCCGACGTTGAAGGTGCGCGACGCGCTGACTGCAAGCTAGACTGCGGCGCAGGGCGACTCAACTGCTTGAAGCAAGTACCGCCATACACCAAATGCGCTGGTTATCCGACCGTGGGTGAGTATGCGTTTCTACGATGGTGTCCAAGTAGTTGACGAAGAAGTAGGTTGTCCTTTCATAGGATGCGCGTGTACAAGGTAGGAAGGCTGGGGATGACATCACCAAAAACGGGGTTAGGCTAGAAGTGGCTTAGTGCCAGGGTTCCTTCTTTCGTCCATCCTTCGCAGGGGCGCGTCTTCTCTCTCTGTCTTTCGCGCTCGACTCTGAGGGGTCTCTGCCAAAACGCGGGACCTGACTCGCAAAAGCAGACCGCCATCTGAAAACTTGCTTCGTATCGATGGGCGAATATATTGCTGACACGATCTGAATATGTACGACCAATCACTGAACGAGCGCAAGCTGAACCCCTCTTCCCCGCTGGGTACCATTGTTCTCAAAATGCTGCTTGAATGAAAGATAACAACATCGCATAATCTCGTCCTCTTTCTTATCATTTCACCTATTTACAGGCCAGAAACATCATCCCCATACGAACAGTCCACCAACGAGCTAGCCTATTCGCTTGCGCTATCGAGTCCACCATGGCAACGAAAACCCCGTTTGTCCGAACGTATAATACATCAGCCGATTACAATGACGGACTCCACGTGGTATGCGTCACAGCATCGATTCATTCGTCACTGTCATCCTGACGAAAGCCACAGTTCCTGGAAACTATCGACCCAGGTCTTGACTGGGAGCCAGCGCGCACCATAGGCTTACGTCTCTGGTACAAAGCCTACGTTGATCTAACACCCGAAACATGCTACGTGCTAGATGACGGCAACGGACGTGTGGTGGGTTATTGTATTGGCGCCGCTGATACAACGTCTTTCGCGCAGCGCTGGCGCGACGTGTTCACTCCAACTATCGACCCGAAACTTGTACCACATCCGGATGTCCAGACCAATGATTCGCGGATGGAAAGAGAAGACGCTAGGCACTTTCGAAAGGCTGTGTATGAAGCGGACTGTAGTATGCTGCTGCCTTGGCCGCAGGTGTTGGAGCAATATTCGGCGCATCTACATATCGATATTCTGCCTGAGTATCAGCGGAAGGGGTGGGGTTCTATGCTCATACAGCATTTCCTGGGTGCAGTTAAAACTTTGGGTGCGAAGGGGGCCCATCTTGACATGGTGCAGTCAAATACGAGCGCAAGAGCTTTCTACGAGAAAGTGGGATTTCAGGTTTGTCCGCATGTACTAGATGATGGAGCGAGTGGCCAGCCTGGTGTCAACGGCATCGTGGTCACATTGGTCATCAGTCTGTGAGCACTCCAAGTATCGTCAACTTTGTTACCTATCCTATTGTTCTTTGCATCAGATTGAACTTCGTCGCATGAAAGATCTGTGGGCTGTTTTACAGCTGTCTACAACGTGGCCGTAAAGTCACCGTCATATCGAACTACACATACCTGGCGTAGTCTTTCTTGCGCCTGTTACTCGCACTAACCCTTCCAGCATGTTGAGAAATGTCAACGCAACACTTACGCAATGGTACTACTTAACGTTTCCGGAAATCTTGCGGAGACAATAGTCATCTCTGACGAAGAGCTTCTCCCACGCTGGAAGTTGAGTCAGTATAATTCAGCGCAGCCATGCAGACAAAATGTGTTCAGATGCCAACGGATCTGCTGTTGTCAGCCACTGTGACAGGCTTTTGCGATCCAGATATATAAACCCCTCCTCCATTCCTTACATCCGGAACCAAAAGGCAGACACCGATATCGCAAAACTAAGAGACCGCCCGCAATGCCTCACGCAACCCAACATCCAGCTCTTGCGCTCGCCACCTCTCCCACGAAAACATCGGTTACGCCGAATGGTAAAGTCCGATCTGATAGCTTTATGAGCGTTCACGAAAGGAAGGACCTGCAGCAAGCACATGCACTGAACCCACTCGACCCTTTTGAAGTTGACGGTACACCCGTGAACGAGTGTTCAACTGCAGCACCATCCGAATATGACCTCGAAGAGCTGAGATCAACCCTCACTGAAGCCAGGAAAACCATGTATGCTGCTATGAAGAGATACAGCGACCTACACTGGATCGGCGAGCTTATTTACGAGCTCCCAAGTTCACCTCAGGTCTATGCCGTCTCGGAAACACCAGTCGAGGAATTAGATCACCCATCACAGGAGACTCTGGCGAAAGCGCCACTTCCTCGCGCCAAACCAGACCCTGTTTCTTACGACGAATTCATCAAGATGCTGGAAGATGGAGGCTTTACCTGGCTGCTAGAACACGTAGACAAACTCAACAGCATGGACGACTTCGCCGTCGCTCTCACTGCCAACCCCGAGCAAAAGCGCTGCAAGGTTGGGCGACCAAGGGGTAAGATCTTGAAGAAAGAACAAACTGACGATCTTGAAAAAAGGATATGCTGTATGCATAAAGGTGGTGAAGATTTTCGTCGGCAGGTTGTTGACCACGGGCGAGACCCATGGAAGTGTTGGCCACCAAATGCTGATGAGGACAAGGAAGTGGTTACGAAGTAAGGCATTTATGAACTTCATTCTGTCGTGTTGCAGATGATAATCATGTGGCTCAAAGGGTTCTTAGATTATCTTTACTATCAATCCATCTCTAAGCCCCACATATGTCCTGTTATATGACGTACGTCGGCATCCATAGCTGTACATTTCATGGTCTCACTTTGAGTAGTATTCGTATCGTAAGATTTGCATTCTAGTCCCAAATTTTAGCACATACATGTGTACTTAGGTAAGATATAACACAGATACTTATTCCCAAAAGTTACAGTCCTCCTCCTCTTCCCTTGACGCCTGCTCCGACGAACGCATGGCTCTCCACATAAAAGCTTCACATGCAGCCTGCGTATCAGCAACCCCAGAAAGGCCCGACGTGAAAAGCGGTGAGTACCATTTCATCTCCTCAGCATCCCTTGGCGCACGAGGCCCATCCTCAAAGACATCGTTGTTCAATTCGGCAACTGGTTCGCCACGTGCGTCTGTAGCTTGGCTAGCGTTACCGTGATATGGGCTCGGGATTGTCGCGTGTCTAGGTCTAGAATCGGGGGTAGTCGAGGTCGCAGAGGTCAACGGAGACGCATTGTCGGGTGTTGTTTCGATGTTGATATGTGATGTCGCGGAGGCCGATGAAGACGCATCGTCGGGTGTCATTTCAGTGTTGGTACCGGACGTTTCGCTACCACTCGATGGTGAGTCGGGGCTTGGGTTACGGTCATTGCGTCTATTTGGTTGGCGATTGTATGCTCTTCTTCCTCGGCGCCTCCTTCGTCTGGGCATTTTGGAGTCGTATTATCTTGGTTGATAGTTTTTTGGCTTGAAAAACAATTGCAGCTCTCCTCAAGATTGGCATGATCGTTACGAGAGCGCGTCGTGTCGGTTATTATACGGCAACCAAAAACGTGTCTCAGACATGAATCTCACTAAGACAATTTGTACGTACACCATTGAATGAGACAGGTGTCTCGTCCAAAACGACCGATTGCATACTGAGAAACAATCCAAAGCCTCCAGGGATAGACTGCATCCTGGTATCTCCGCTCTGCAGAAGCCCTACCACTCATCCCAAAAGCCTACCCATTGTATCCTCATTCATCAAGCCCTATCGCGCATCACCAACTCCCCTCCTCCGATGCGCATGCCTGACCACAACACTCACACCCCTCCTCCTCATCTCGTTCGCTACAATCTCCGCTGCCGCAACGCTTCGATGTGTACCCGCATGGCATGTAGTTTGTATCGACGCGATCTGGTTTCCAGCATTGAGATGATTTCCTATAGCGGTGATGGCTTTGTTACTATAGTGTCTCAGATCAGCCAACCGTCTACTATCTATGTTGTTCCAAACAATGCAGTAGTGAAAGATAAGTGTGAAGGGTGGACAACTCACATCTCTCCCATCGCCGTACGACTGCCCAGTATAAACTGTTGCACTTGCGGGCTTACGCCAGTGTATCTTTCACATATCTCGCGGGGTGGGGCACGCCATTTGTGGCAGTATATTGTGAGGAGAACTGGTATGCCGGGTGGTGTATGTTGAAGGAGTTGGGCTTCAGCCCCTGGATGGCGTTTGAGGACTTCGGTGGAGTAGGAGAGGATGTAGAGGGTTTTCTGAACTGGTGAGGCGGGAGGTGGTATAAAGGGCTGAGGATGCAGGAGAGCGGGTGGAGGTGGGAGGATCACTGGCTGCTGGAAGTGCTGTTGCGGTGGTAATAGAGGGGGTAGCGGTGCAAGTAGCGGGATTGGTTGTAGTGGCATTGGTATTGGCATTTGCATCTGCGGGATTGCCTGCACGAAGGGCTGAAGAGGGAACATCTGCATGTGTGGATATATTGGAAACATAGCTGATGATATCTTTACTGGAGAAACGTAGTATGGCACGCTGATCAAGAAGTCTACTTTGCGTATACAGCTATCCTGTGAAGACGTCGCAGTGCTGGTGAAGCGCGTCAGTGACCATCGATGACCTTCAATCAGAAGGGCTATGTCTGGTACATTGCGTATGACCGTAGACTCATCAGTGTGAATGGTACAACCAGCAACTTGCGGTTGTGCATGATGAATGTGCAAGTTCTCAACACGCACTGTCGGACTCTCTGTCTCCGCATTGCGGACAAAGAATGTCCGTATGTCAGCATGTCAGCATGTAAGCATTACAGTTTCGGTGTACTCTTTCCGTGTACCAAATCAGAGCACTAGCACAACCGTCACACCGGATCTTCAGAAGGCCAGCTGACCGCTACCCCTTCCATACGTCACCTTCTCAAACAGCTACGCCACATCAACCCCAACGCTATCCACACCATGACCTCAGAGTTGAGTCTGTACCCCAGGACCGCGATAGTCGCCGTCTCGTCACGAAGTCCAAGTATCAGCTTCCCCATGCAGTAAGTTCTGCATGCAGATAGGGCTGCATAGTACCACACGTGGCGCCAAAAAGTCCCGACCGACTCCACGCCAATCTTCCAGCCTGCTTCTACACCCATCCTTCGAAGCAGGTAACCGACCTTCCTTGATCCTCCGCATGATCCTCCGCTTGCAAGCTTCCAGCGGCACAGTATCAAACGAGCCTATCGCTTCACGCATGCAAGGAGTCGCTCAAAACTTGGCAACGTCCGCGAAGGCGGGTCAAGAACCTTGGAAAGAAGCCTAGGTACCGTGCCGCAAAGATCCTACCTGCACGCCCCAGCCGTGCATTGAACAAACTGGGCAGCATCTGGGCGGCTATCACGCCAATGAAAACACGTCAAACGGCATTCGTGGGAATAATAGAAGGAAGAATAGGGTGATAGGTAAGCGAATTGTGGGAGGCTGGTTGTAGTTGCGCTGCCTAATGTTACGCTATAAAAGACGTTATAGTACATACCTATAAGCTTATTAATTACTAGTTTACTAATCTAATTTTTTTTATTATCTCTAAACTCTAAATAAAATATATTTTACTTATATTATAAACTTTTTTTAGCTTTAGCTTTTAATATTAATAAAAAAGTTATTATTACTAGTAATAGTAGTTTAAGTAAGAACTTTTTTATAAAGTTATTTAAAAGTATTATATTTACTTTATATAAAAAATTTAATATTAATACTAAAGCTTATATTACTATAAATAAAATTAGCTATTACTATAAAGTAAAAGTTTACTTATAAGTTATTTATATTAGAGTAATTATAAGTAGCTTTAAAAAGTATAATAAAATTAGTAAACTTCTACTTAATATAAAAGTTACTAATAAAATAAGTAGTAAATTTTAAGTAACTAAAGTATACTTATAGTATTAAGCTTACTTATTAAAAAGTAAAAGTAGTTACTATTTTAAAGTATATAAATAAGTATAAAAAAATTAATATATAAGTATAAAAATTTTATATACTTATCTTTTTTAAGTATTAGTAGTAGTATATAACTATAATAGTATACTTTAGTTATTAAGTTAAGATTTTTTTAAATTTTTATAGTTAAGAAATACTAAAGCTAAGGCTTACTTAGACACGTAATGTGGTTGCGCTGCGGCTGAGATTACCGCTTTAGGACTGCGGCGTAGTTGATGTGATACCGAGTTGCTGGGTCGCCTTTGGAACCTTCCTAGGAAGGATCGTGAATCTCGTATCGAACGTCAATGAATCCTTCCTCGGTGGCTACCGAAATGAGAGAAGTGAAATTGCATGATTCTAGAAGCGAGGGAAATCGTTCGATCATCGTTCTGGGAGCGGAGAGGGCGGCTATGATGAAGTTACGACATGGACCATGGTGTTGTGCGTGCGCAAATCTGGATTGGGCGTCTCGGATCGAAGCGAGCAACGCCAATCATGACATATGCGCTTTTCTGGTTTCCTTGCATTTGTTCCTTGCCTTGCCCTATCTAGATTATGTGAGTTCAACGAAACATGTTACAACCACAGACTCGGTACCTATGCATCTTCTGTCGCACAAATTACTCCTTCTGAGTTGATTCATCAACCCAAGACTGAGGTTGTTACATGATTCACAACTTTCCTTCACCTCCTCCCTGGAGCACATCGCGTACGAGCTTGAGGCCTTGCACGGCAAAGGCCACCATGTTGGCTTCGCGCTCGCTGCTCCCTGTCTCCGCTTCTCGAGTCACTGTCTCCCCGCCCTCCCGTGCCACGGCAAGCGCTACGTAGCCTGGTGTGCGGTTACGAGTCGTTCCCCCCGTCGGCCCTGCGGTTCCACTCTCGCTGATGGTATACGTGCTTCCCAGTGTCTTACGCGTGTGCTCGGCGAGGCCAGAGACGATGGCAGGGGTTGGACCGCTGTAGGATTTGATGGTTTCCTGTGTCCAGCCGCAGTATGCGATTCGTGACTCGAGTGTGTACAGGGTAAGACCGCCGCGATAGTAGGTCGATGCGCCGGGGAAGGAGAGGAGTGCTGCGGAGATGAGACCGCCTGCTGCCTGGTTGGAGTGGTTAGTAGGTGGCTTTGAGTTGGACTGGGGGTTCTTACTGTCTCTGCTACCGAGATGGTCTCTTTGCGCTCTTTGAGGAGTGTGGCTACCTCTTGGACGATTTGCTGGAGCTCTTCGGGCGGGAATATGGGTGGTGACATTTTGAGGTATGTTGGATTGGGTAGTTACGCTTCTTCTCAAACTTGAAGTTTAAGCTTCAATTGTATACAAATGTTCTTGTGTTAATAATTGTATCGGAGTTATGACGGACGTAGTCGCTTTCGGTGGGGTATTTCGAGGTTGTGACGTGTGCGGGGTAGCTTCCATTACACCTCCAACCGTATAGATAGTATACCGAAATATTGTACATACAAAGCCAGACACAATTTACTTTAAACATCGAAAGCGAACCTCTCTTCTCCCCTCTTCATCAATCTGATTGGTATCGAGACGCCCCTCAACTGCAGCGTGATGATACTCGCCATCTTGGTCTGGATCAG